TTTGTTTTTCTCCATCTGCGCTCAGCTTTCCTACACTCTTTTTTCATTTTTCACTAGTGTGGAGTTTCTCCATGGAGACTTTTTCCTTCCAGAGATAACCTTTACCTTAATGGGAGCAATAGTGTCCATTACATTTAACATGTTAGCATTAAAGCTATTGACGAGCTACTATTTTTAATACTATTTAATACTATTTTTAGACACTAAAAATAGTATTATTTGCCACACAGATCATGAAACAAATTTTAATATTAGCCAAAGATAAGCAAAGTAAACATTTCATGTAAAACTCCATGTAAAAAAACAATTGCCCCCATAACCTCTCAACTGGTTGTGCCACCCTTGGCGGGAAGAACTGCAATTAAGCATTTGCAATAACCGGCAGTGAGTCTTTCACATTGCTTATTTGCAGAATTGTTTTAATTCAACCACACATAATTTTGAGCTTGGCCTGTTTAACATTCTGCCTCAATCGGATTTAAGTTCAGACTTTGACTAGGCCACTCCAAATAATCGCCTATGACCAAAACAAGATAAATTCCATTTTAACAAGAACAAACCTCCGGCAGAACCACCCTCAGGGATGGGCAGCCATCTGCTGCGACCAGTTGGTGGTTAGGCAAGGGAGACCAAAAGACAAGCTATGGAAGTGAGTAGATATTAATAACAGCTAATGATTCAATGCAAAGTCATAGATAAAGACATAGAATCAACAACTGGTAAGTAAAGAAGAAACAGTACATCCCTCCAGCAGCCTAGACCTATTGCAGTTTAACTAAGGGAGGGTTGAGGGTCATCTAATCTACTCCTACCTATAAGCTTTATTGAAACGTTTTAAGGCTCATCTTAAAAGTGAAGACTCCAAACTGGGAACTGGTTTCACAGAAACAGGGGCCTGAAAGCTGAAGGCTTTGCCTACCATTCTACTTTTAAATGTTCAGGAACCACAAGTAAGCCTGCAGTCTGAGAGCAAAGTGTGCTATTGGGTTGATATGTTAGTATGAAGTCTTAAAGACAGGAGTGCACCTGATTATTCAAGCCCTTGTATGTGAGCAGAAGTATTTTAAAGTCAATTTTGCATTCAAAGAAGAGAAGCCAATATCAGAGAAATATGGTTCGTCTTTCTAGTCCCTGTCAGTTGTCCTGCTACAAATGTGCTTCAACTTTAGGACACAATGACGGTAGAGCAGAATTCATGGTTCCCTCCCTTACAGCAACTGGTCCAATCAAGAAAGCTGCCCCAAACCATCAGAGTACGACCAACATGTTTGACTGTCAGTATATTTTTCGTGTTCATTTTACGCCAAATTTACCTTCCAAATATTCCAAAAAGTTCAGCTTTTGTCTCATCACTCACCAGATGACATTTGGGCAAATATAAGGGCGGGGGAGTGTCCAACTGTGGGTTTCGCCTTAACCTCCTAAGACCCGAACTCTTCCACGGCATGCATTTTTCATTTCTCTTTGATATTTGGGCTGATTGGGACCCGATGAATATAAAAACAAAGAATACTAGATTTTTTTTTTTTTTTTTACCTGATTTTTGTTTCTAAGAAAAATGAGAGCCACAAATGAGGATATTCGTTTAAACATTCGATAGAACAGTAGCAGTATAATGTCCTCATAAGTGGATATCAAGCCCTTGCAGAGCAAAATTGAGTATTTTGGTCTAAATAACCCAAAATGTGATGTCCACATATGTGGACGCCAGGTCCTAGGACGTTAGAACTCATGGATGCCATTTTTGCCCAGCCTCTTTTTTGATGCTGAATCGTGAAAACTAGCCTTAAGTGAGACAAATAAGGACTGCAGTTCTGAGTTGCTTTGTGAACTACTGGATGACTCGTCTGTGCATTTTTTAGGTAATTTTGGTAGGCCAGCCATATCTGGACCACCATTACAAGTTCTCTCCATTTGTGGATAATGGGTCTCATTGTGGTTCACTGGAGTCCCAAAGTCCTAGAAATGGCTTTGTAACTTTTTTATAGTGATAGATGGGACTTTGTTTTCCATTCATTACTTTTACTAGGGAGGTTTGGTTAGATTTCTTCCCTCAATAAATGAAATTGCCATTTAAAAACCATTTTACAGACCAATACAGACAAAACCAATACAGACAAAGATAACTGAATAATGTGAAACATGCAAGTGTGACAAATATCCAAAAAAGTGGCAATACTTTTCACATTTTCTGCATCACACAACTTCTAGCTGATTTTGAATCAGATCTCTAATCTCTTCTCCAGATCAGGTCATGTGTTTGGCCAAGTTACCGCGGCTAAAAGCGAGCCACCTCTGTGACGGTGACAAATCTGAATTTAAGCTTAACATAACTCGGGAACTATTTTAACCTCCTTTGTTGTACAGCCCTCGGAAAGGGGGAACCCAAACGAGACTAATCTAGTGCCACCATAAAAAAGAAAGATTTCACAGATCATAATTGTTCTATATGTAACTAAAGTTCATTGCTCTTGTAACCACAGCCAGTTAGACGCCTGCTATGGATACCAAATAAGAACAGAAAAACAAGCTCCTGTGGGTCGTCGTCCCTTCCTGTCTGCACAGAAGGGTGGCTGTTACAAATGTGCGGAATATGTTACACTTGGTTGTGTAGTAATTCATTGTATGTTCGTATTCTAGTAAATTCTGATACCAGTGTTTAAAATAGCAATTAAGCTAAAAGATGATAGCAATATTTTTTTATTAATTATAAAATTAATTTCTGTTTCTTTTGTGTCTTCAGTTCTCCTCTATATTTGTTGATTAATGTGAGCAGTTAATGGTTATGATGGCACTCATCGTGTTGCATCGATAAATACTATCTGTGATGCGATTTTTCCAGTTGACTTAAATGCTGTTATGGAGACATTTTCAGCAACACAGTACCTGTTGGACAGCTAATGACAGGTGAATGACGGGCTAAAATTTCTAATGTCAAGCTGTCCCTTTCAACGATTCTTCGCTTCCCCTCTGCAGCTCCATCATCAGCTGTAACAAGCTGCTGGGAAAGAAATCTGAAGGAGCGGAAGGAGTGAAATCCTCATCGTGCTCATCTGCGCTAGGGAAAGCCGACATGCACTTCTGCGCCGTGTGCCACGACTACGCCTCCGGCTATCACTACGGTGTGTGGTCCTGCGAGGGCTGCAAGGCTTTTTTCAAGAGAAGCATCCAAGGTATGACCTTTTTACTTTATATTTACTCACAATTTTTCTTCTCATCAGCTGAAATAATCCATTACTGTGTTTTCTTCTTTTATTAGGACACAATGATTACATTTGCCCTGCCACAAATCAGTGCACTATTGACAAGAACCGGCGTAAAAGCTGCCAAGCCTGCCGGCTACGTAAATGCTATGAAGTGGGCATGATGAAGTGCGGTGGGTTTTTACTCATCTTCATTAGAATTGGGATATTTCATGATTTCTTGTCTTACAGCAGAGCTAAAATTGACTCAGTTAATAGGTCTGTGAGCTCATTAGACCTTTTGAGCTTTTTTGAAAAGCACGCAGGACAAGTCTTCCTTCCACTGACTGTAAGAATCATCTAAATACTTTTAATTATTTCTGTGACACATGCAAATAGTGTTTCTTTGGGCCTTTAGTGTTTCTTATGATCAGCACATTCCATTCTGTTGCCTGCTCTGTGATTCTGGGCTAACCTTGGTGTGTTAAACTGCAGCTGGGATTGCTCTTTGACATATGAAGCATTGTGTTTATAAATGCCTTTGCTCTTCTTATCAGTAGACTGGTCATAGTGTCTGCTAATGCTCAGATAGATCCAGTTTTTTTTTGTTCTTATTAGATTGTTAAAAATATATATTTCCTTCTATTGCATAAAGCACAAGCTTTTTCTCACACGAAGTGTAAAGGAGTTGCAGGTAATTCGGCAACTGTCTGTTGTCTTCATTCACCAGGGGTGAGGCGTGAACGTTGTGGCTTTCGTGGTGCTCGACACCGTCGCGGTGGACCCCAGCCTCGGGATACGACAGGTCAGAGTTTGGTAAGGGTTGGACTGGGTTCTCGGGGTCAACGGCATCTTCACCTGGGGACACCTGAAGACACCTCTGTCCACACTCACTCAAATCACACGCATCACTCAACCATGAACCCAGAGGAGTTCATTTCCCGAATCATGGAGGCAGAGCCGCCAGAGATCTACCTCATGGAGGACCTGAAAAAGCCGTTCACTGAGACCAGCATAATGATGACCCTCACCAACCTGGCAGACAAGGAACTGGTTCTCATGATCAGCTGGGCCAAGAAGATCCCTGGTAAGATCCAAGCTACTCAGTTCAGTCTGTATGTAACTCTTTCACACAAGTACTGCTAAGTAAATGTTTTTCTTTTCTTTAATTCTACTCAGTCATACATTTTTTCTTTTTTGTTACAAAGAATTTTGTGTTAAAAAATGTTCTACATTCTTTATTTTGCAATATTGTAAGATTCAATTGCCATTCTTTGTCAGTAGTGATCTTTTGCAATATGGAGATTATTAAAGTGGGTTTGGGGTGGCTGTAGCTCAGGTGGTCACCTACTACCAGAAGGTTGGTGCGTCAATCCCAGTCTGCTCCAGCCTGCATGTCTATTCTTGGGCAAGATACTAACCTCGTGTTGATTGTGCGAATCTTAGATAGAAAGCATTTATTTGTGTAGAGTGCTCAGATAGAGTAGAAAAGCTCTCTATAAGAACCAGTCCATTTACCATTTGTCCTCAAATATGGGAATTTGTCATGATTCGGCTGTGTGGCAGGCAGGAGAGGACCCAAACGCAAACTCACGGAGACAAAACGTAAACTCTAAAACACAGCTTTAATGCTGGCAAAAAGTGAAACACAAAAACAGTACTAAACTAAACTAGGAAAGCTAAACATAAAGTATACCAGGAACTACAGGGAGAATCACACACAGCATGAGGGAGACTACGACACTGACAAACAGAAACACAGAGCCTAAATACACAGAGGGATAACGAGGGAATGAGACACAGAAGGGGAGCACAGCTGGGAGTAATCAGGCTGGACGAGACAGAGACGCAAAACTAGAAACACTCACATGAGGCATGGACCTTCAAAGTAAAACAGGAAACACACTGACTGAATTCTAAAACACGCAAACTTAACAGCAACTGGGGAGACAGAACATAGGAACCTGAAACGTGGTACAAAACATGACAGTGGACATAACATGGAACACAGGGAAGCCATATAACAAAGCCAAAGAGCTAAACCTAAGGTAACCATAACTGAGATCCAGGGAAACAAGAAACAGTACATCAAAGGACTCAAAACATAAACCATGATATAAAAGCACAGGATCTCTTCCAAATAAAATAGGAAACATAATGAGACGCAGACATGATAACCAGAACTTGACAATGTAAGACACAGACATGAAACACATGAAGAGCAGGGGAGACTTAACATGGGTTGGAAACACAAGGGGGAACTAATAAGCAAATGAACATAGGAGACCTAAAGAGCTTAACATACTATAAACATCAAAATGAACTAAAACTCAAAACACTGGGTCCTAAGACCCAGGATCGTGACAGAATTTGTAGGACTGCATGATGTTTTTTCACATTTTAACTAGCCAATAATAAGACAGCTGTAATCCAAATTACAGGTCATGATTCATTTTGATGGTAAGAAACGCCACTGAAAATACCAGCCTTTTATCTTAATGAGTTTTTGAAATGTTCATGTTTAAACATTTCCTCAAATTTGAAAGTTTAAAAAAAATGGTGAAAGTGGATCTACATTCATTGGCAGATACATGGACCGTATATCAAAAATTATACATCCTGAAAAATGTTCGATATGTAAAACTGTCAAGAACCGTAGTTCTAGCACGCAAGCTGGACCTAGAAGCAAGCACAATACGCCGGGATGCACGCAGAATAACTTTTATTTCTCAAAGAGTGTCCCGGAATGATCAAAGGAAAACACGCAGTGTTAATATTAGAACCAAAGGACCGGGAGATAACAACTTGGGAACGCAATGATCGGGACCGTGGGAGGCTGCAACAGAGAAGGGAAGAGAGTTACTGCGGAGCAGGGAGATAACAGCATACAACGGGGTAGAGCTATTTATCTTACAATCAGGGCTGGGCCGTGGGAACTGGAGGGAGGGGTGAGGGACCGCGGAAGAGGGCTCCAGGAAGGCGGAGGAGATGATGACCGGTGGCTAATCTGAACTCCAGGCGTGCAGGACAGGCAGGTGTACGCTCAAACACGGCGAACAATAATAGTAGAAGAATAAACATAGTTCAAAAGAAACCAGAGATTCCACATCCACCTTCACGTGAGGGCCAAGTTACCGCTGAATGGTGACTAACGGACCGGCGTGGAGCAGCCGGCCGTGCGGGGTTAAATAGTCCTCCTGACGATCGCCTGGAATGGGATGCAGGTGTGGAGATGACAGCCACACCCGTAGGCGTGGGCATCCCATCCACTCCTCAGGCACCAGGCCGCAGACCATGACAAAAACAAAACATTTCACAGAAATCATTCCATGTGTCCAAACTTTAGACCACAAAAGTTTTTATGCAAATCAGAGATGTTTGAGGAGAAGGTCCAGGTTGATTTAAGATGGAATGAAATTTAAAGCCAGACGTTTGCCACAATTTGTCACTGAAGTAACCAAGCAGAAAGGGGTCAGGAAGATAAGACTTGAGCATGGCTTTAGAAGAGCAGCTTCTCTTTGTAGGAAACCATCTCTCTGTCAATCAGGCCTTTATTCTAAAGCATGGTAAAAGGCACAGGAAAGTTTTCTTGAGCTTTATAAAAACTAAACAATATATTATGACATGAAGATACTTCAGTCCAGTGGCAGTGGCAGTGGGCAGTGGGCAGTGGGGTATTTATCAATAGAAAAAGCTCTAACGTTTATGAAAATACAGTTCAAAGTTCTAAATCTATCCACTCATTCACATTTTCTAAAGCTGTCAAGTGGGCCAGATTGGAGTCTTTGCCGGTGCAATTCCAGCCCCCAGGTCTTATGTTTGCCATCCCTGCTCTAAGCACTGCCTGTTAAACACCAGGCACTCCTCATCATCTGCTAATACCATCCCTGCAGTGAAACATGATAGTAGCGAGGCTGCTTCACAATAGCAGGTACAGCAAGACTTCTCAGAGCATTAAGTAGAAAGCAGTTACCTGGACAGAAGCGCCTTAAATAAAAGGAGATCCATATGACAGTAAGCCAACGTACACGCAGCCAAGCTAGCCTCGAGTAAAAAGTCTTACTGTTCTTCAGTAGCTTAGTTAAAGCAACCACGTAATCCACACAGAATAGCTACAGACACACCTGAAGACAATACTATGCACTTCATATCCAGTCAGTGATCCAAAGGAACAATCAATGGGCAAATCTAGTTGTAGAAACTTACCCAAGAGGCCTCAAAGGGACTTCTAGCAAGAATCCAAATACTGGTAAATGCCATATTTCATTTTCTCATAATAAACCTTTTTAAAATTGAATTACTGAAAAGAAGTTAGAGGTCCAAATATTTTTTAAAAGCAAATAGTGAAAAAAAAAAAGCCAGATGAGTGCAAATAAATGTAGCAGCCTGATGTGATGTTAGTATCAGTGTTGGTTCCTTCCATAAAGTTGCTTTTCATGATTGATCCTGTTTTTCTTTTGCACTAAAGGATTAAATCAAGTTTAAAATGGTAAATGGCCTGTATTTATATAGCGCTTTACTAGTCCCTAAGGACCCCAAAGCACTTTACATATCCAGTCATCCACCCATTCACACACTGGTGATGGCAAGCTACATTGTAGCCACAGCCACCCTGGGGCGCACTGACAGAGGCGAGGCTGCCGGACACTGGCGCCACCGGGCCCTCTGACCACCACCAGTAGGCAACGGGTGAAGTGTCTTGCCCAAGGACACAACGACCGAGACTGTCCGAGTCGGGGCTCGAACCGGCAACCTTCCGATTACAAGACGAACTCCCAACTCTTGAGCCACGATCGCCCCAGTTATGAATGGTGGTGACATGTGAGCTGTAATCATTCAGACATAAATAAAACAGGAAGGCTGTCAGTGTCATGTGACTCTCTGGTGTCACCTGTGTTAGCTGACCCACTTTTGAGGCCAGATTCAATCAAAGAATCCCCATCAAAGTAGCTCTGTCTGTTGACATGTTTGGCACTGAGGCACCGGTTGTGCAACAGTCTGTTACAAAGTTACAGATGTCCTGCACCACCCCTGTACATTTCTCTCTGTTTCTGGGTAGAGCTCTATGTAGTCATACAACAGAAAGAAGTTCCTTGCAACAGTGTCTATATCAACGGTCAGGGAGCCCTGATAGATTGGCTGGCTAAGACACATTACCAGATGGCCACAAAATCTTCCAAGCAGTGAGTGTTTCTGGTCTAATTCCAGGCTGGCCTGAACCCTTTACTGCTCTTTCACCATATTTCCTGTCTTGTTGAACATCATGTTGCACTGGATAAGGCAGTGAGCCAATGAAACACAGGAGTGATGAAGAAATGATTCCCCCGATGAATCATTGTTATATAGAACATTTATGATCAGTTTAATGTTATTTCACATAAAAACAAAGCTGCTTTTCTTTCAAACACAAATACATCTCAAAGTGACCCCATACTGCAGTAATGCATACTATTATTAGTCTGCACAGACATGTAATCAAGCTCCAACTTGACTGGTGGATCTGGGCGTACAACTAAAAGAATGTGTGAATAAGTGCTGATTCCAATTGTGCAATTTGGGATAGATTAGGGTTTTGTGCTCATAATTCCATGAAGGCAGAATGTGGGTGGTTTCCAAGTGTAAAGAGGCCTTTTTTTTCTCCTCTCCTCAGGCTTTGTAGAGTTGAGTCTAACAGACCAAATCCACCTGCTGAAGTGCTGCTGGTTGGAGATCCTCATGCTGGGCTTGATGTGGAGGTCGGTGGATCATCCTGGAAAACTAATCTTCTCTCCAGATGTCAAACTCAGCAGGTGAGAGGGATTAGCACTTATTGCATTAAAACTAATGTGATCCCATTGCACTGAAAATCTTTTATGAAGTTGGTCATCAGCTAACGTTTAGCAGGTTTACAGAGCGACAAATACTTGTTTCTGCTATTCCACAGAGACTTTAGCTTACAGAGAGTGTTTGCTCAAATACCCACACAGCTTCTGTTTCTGTGTTTCTTCCTGATATATGTCATAATACTCTCAGTTTAGATCTTTTTGAGATGTTCTTAAGTGCTTTTGTTGTCTCACCCACATAAAATAATGTAAAAAGGTAAAATATGTCTGAATAAGAAATATCTGCAACTGCCACAACATTATTGCTGGTTTGAGCTCCCCAGGTTTTTTCACAATGATGACAAATTGACATCACACGATAAAACAGGTCATCCACAACACACATACACATCACGAACATTTGTTCCAGATTCATCTGAGATTTCTCTGGACTGCCAACGCAGTCTTTTATCTCCTGCTGTTCCCTTCCACACCGACCTTCGAATTTGTCCAGAGAACTGTTGTTTGTATCTGCCAATGCTGAATAGCCTTTGTATTCGTAGTAAACACACTGTAATTGGGCAGCAGGGATATCCTAATGGCTAAACTTGGAGAAAGGTTTTCAACAGTGTTCTCAGCATGGCAAATCTTATATGAGGCTCTTTAAGTTTCTCAACAATACCTACTGTTGCTGTGAACTGCATGCCACTTTGCAACCCACCACCGACCCAGCTATACCTCCCACGCTGTGTCTGATCCACTCATGTCACTGGTGTGCTGGGACCTAGCTGCTTCTCTCCCTTCACAGATTTTCACTTTCACACAAAGTACATGCACCAAAATCCAGTGAGCGGGTTGACCACAATCATGGTGCCTACAGGATACAAATAATTGCATTTCTGAAGAATTTCTCCTTGATGCAGATGTCAAACAAACTGGCACATATATTTCTGCTGTGGACACTGACCTTGTGCAACATTCAGAACTTGTTAGATTATAAACTGGGATGGGTTAGGGAAAGTTCGTCATATTTTTTGCTAAAGGGCAAAAATTCTCAAAAGACAAAAATAGACTTCAGACTTTAGTTTTTTAAATTTGATAATGCAGCAGAGCCACTAAGTTCTGATAACTTGTACATTTTAGACTCCATCATATGGAGGCCATCATATTTCAGACTGCATGCTGTAGATGCTATAAAATGTTTCATCTCTTGTTTAGTCTCACAGGACTTTACCAATTGCTGTTTACCCTGAGTTTTCCCCTTTGTCCCACTTTCTTGTGTATGTAATTCCCTTATTTTTGTTAAGGACTTTGAAGCAGTATGTAGTCAGACAGCTAAATGCTACATTTTTTGTGAAAAAGGCAAATGCAGAAGGAGCTGAGGGTAGGAGCAAATTTATACGAGGGAAATGGTGGGTTGAGTTCAGTGTTTGACCTTTCTTTCTTCACTGCCACGGAAACTATCACTATAGGCTTAGGCTAGCCTTGATGTGTTTTCATAACACGGCCTTATTTTTCTCTGTAAGGTTCCTGTCAGCCTTTCTCCTTGGAAAGATGAGGATAACATCCTGGATGCAAATCCATCCACCGGCCCATTGAATCATTTTCTAATTTATTTTGTCTTATCAAGTCTTTCTTTCTGCTTTTCTGACCTCTTTCTGCTCTCTCTTACACATTCATCAGTATTTGGCTTGAATTTCTTCATGGATGGTTGCTAATATGTGGATTACCAATAGGAAGTTGTTAGCTGATGAGGTTTTAATACCCAATTTTCCCATTCATGACTATAGTTTGTTTTATTATGTCAAAAGGTAAAGCTCTGTTCTGGAACCTCTAAGCCCTTTCTGATTTATGACACTGAGTAAGTCATATATAGCAGGGAATGGAAGAAGTGGGTTGCAAAGCAGGTTGCAGGGCACAACTGCCACCAGGCTAAAATGTCTTAAAATGTACCACTAGCACTTGTGTGCTGACACTGCAATCCTCTGGTTCATCAAAATTGCAGCTGAAATAGATTTTTTTTTTTAAATTTTCCATCATATTATTATGGTTTTCAGGCACCATAATAAACTTTTTTAGCCTACAAGAGTTGATATAAATGGGACGCACAAAGTAATAGAAATTTCTTTCAGCACGTTCAGTTTATCTTGGTTCTCGTTGCTGCCTCTTTCCCCTTTCTTATCTTTTTGTTCACTCCACTCCATCTTGTTTTTCTTCACTTCTTTTCTTTCTGTCTGTTTAGGGAGGAGGGACAGTGTGTGGAGGGCATCATGGAGATTTTCGACATGCTGCTGGCAGCCACCTCTCGGTTCCGTGAGCTGAAGCTGCAGAGAGAGGAGTACGTCTGCCTGAAGGCCATGATCCTCCTCAACTCCAGTGAGTGTTACTGACGCACATAAAACCACAGGATGGGGAAGAATTTTGGAATGAGGTTTCAATAAGCAAATACGCTGTTCCACCTCATCCAATCAGTGCGCTATTTGTGGTGTTTTTGGTTTTTTGTTCTTTTTAGTTCTGACATAATCCCTCACACATGTGCACACACACACACTTTTGGGGTACTCAAGTAAAGGTTTTTTAGTGAGTATAAAAGTACCAAACTAAAGACTACACATGTCAGTATCTGTTTAAAGTGTGCTTCTTAACTTACACCCAAACGTTTGACTGTCAAAGCAATACTCTCTAGTACCCATCAGACCCAGTTATTATTAAAGAAACATAAATCATAGTTATTTTCCAGCTATGATTTTCGTTTCTGCACTACTCCTTGAAATGGCTGATTTCCAGTCTTGATGATGCAGTCTTGTGCTTCTAATTTTCCATTCATCCATCCTTTTTCTTCTGATTATCTGTGGCTGGGTTGTAGGAGCAGGAGCCTGAGCAGAGAGGCCCAGACTTCCCTCTTCCTAGCCCCTTCCTCCAGCTTATCCAGGGCAATCCTGAGGCATTCCCAAGCCAGGAACAACACGTACAGTTCAGTGTCCAGATTTCTAGATTACGAAATAATTTATTGGTTTGTTTATTTATTTATTTTGGTCATGGGAGAAGAGTACACTCACAGTCCTCTGAAGTTTCCTAGCATTTCATTTGTTTAAGGTTCATAGAAATTTCCCAACGTCTCGTACAATAAATAACCCCCTTAAAGCGTTGTAGAGCAGAGTTACACTACACCAGTCATTGATGTGGCTTTTAAAATCAACATGACGGTGACCGTCCCACAGAAGTTGTTATTTGAAGAAGGTTTGATAATGAAGTGACCTGTGAATTTGGACCTTATTGCAGGGCGGCTTTCGTTTTTTCACCTTTAATGTTTTTCCAGTGGTCACAGTGTCCTCTACAAACCACCTCCAACAGACGCTGCAGGCAGGTTCCATCCAGGTGACCGACCTCTCTACATGTTTAACAAAGTTTCCTCCCTCACGCACACATAAGATCCTCTGCCAGACTATGTTCTCTCTTTTAACTCTGCTCCACTGCAGCTGGAGTAAAAAAAAAAGGGCAAATTGTGCAAGAAGCGAAAGCAAGTCTGAAAAGTCAAGGAAAAGAAGGAGTCGAGAAGATTAATGAATCTTGACAGATGGAAAGTTGTAACTGAGCTGCTCCATCCATCCTCTGTCCTGGTGGTGGGCGGACACTAGTTGATCTACAGCTCCTTCTCTCTTCCATCCTCTAGTTTTTCATCAAGAGAGTCCGTCATGATGTCATTCGGGCTCTTTGATGAGCCAGATGGCCTGACTGAAGAAACTGTACGAACTCATAAATGTCACAGCTTAGGTTAAATTGGTTACAGAGTCCTGAATCAGGATGTAGAATGTCATGCAACAATTTATACCAAAGAACACCAGGTTACGTGTTTTATTCAAAGATGAGATAATGAGTGGATTATTACCAGGCTATTATTAATCTTGGAATGTTTTGTCAGTGTCAGTCTATCACTGTTGTCGAAACCATGTTTTCAGTTGCGATGGCTGGATCTAATTTAAGCTTTATTATTATTTCCCTGCAAGTCAAGAAGTTTATACACTCACAGATTCCATGGTTCAGGTGTGTGTGTGCATATATGCTTGAATATAATCAGGGAAATGATATGTATAGATTATTAAGTAAGATGTGATGTTTTTTAAGTGCATTAATTCTGGTACACATAATGATGGGCAAGGCAACAGAAGGTATGCTTAAAAAGAACATGTTAAATGGCTGATTGCAAAGAAATGATCGCACAGGCTGAGTACTAGTCCTGGAGTAAAGATGAGTTGAGGGTTCACCAGCATGTGAAAGACAGTGTAGATAAATAACTAACAAGATCAAATGTCCAAATCACAACATCAACAGTCACCTCAAGGTTCTTTATATTGTAAGGTAAAGATCCTACTTTACTGCAGAGAAATCCCCAACAATCACATGGCCCCCTACGAGTGAGCACTTGGTGACAGTGGGAAGGAAAAACTCTCTTTTAGCAGGAAGAAACTTCCAGCAGAACCAGGCTTAGGGGGCTCAGGCTTGGGGTGGCCATCTGCCACCACAAATTGGGCGTGAAGCAGGGAAACAGTGCAAAGACACACTATGGATGAGAGCCAGAGCTCAGTAATAATGATTATATGCAAAGAGGTGAGGATAATATATATAGTATCAATAGGATTCAGACGGTACAGATCAGTTTTTACAAACGGGTTAGTGCTGAATGCTGAATGAACATTATCCTAGGTATAATTGTGACAGTACATGTACTCACTCAAGAAAGCTAAGATATTCAGTACTGGACAGCTTGCAATCCAGACCAGTGACCCAGTTAAAACATTTGTTGCATTATGAAATGGGAAATATGATGAGTTGCACACTTTTGCAGTGTTGTTGTAATGCAATGACAAAAATATGTTGCTGTCCCAGCAATTTTAAATATATTGCTGTTGTCAAATTCAAACGTGCCACATCTGATTTCTCAGTTTTAACCTATTCATATGTTTTCTCTATAAGTATATAGAGTATAAATGATGTGTATGTTATTGAATTCTGCTTCTATTTACGTCTCAAACAGCATCTAAACTTTTATGGTCGTGTGTAACTAAAGGGCACGTCTTTAAAAAAGGATCAGTGGTCTCAGTAATGACACGTAGCTGTGCTGTTTTTCACAGGTCTGTGCACGAGCTCCCCGCAGACTCCAGAAGAGCTGGAAAGCAGAAACAAACTGCTGCATCTCCTGGATTCTGTGATCGATGCGCTGGTCTGGGCCATCTCCAAACTGGGCCTATCCACCCAGCAGCAGACTCTGCGCCTTGGCCATCTCACCATGCTGCTCTCCCACATCCGGCACGTCAGGTACACACAGAACGGAGGGAGTATTATGTCTGATTTCCTCACATGCTCACAGTAATGCTCAGCAAGCATGTGCACAAACACATATTTTTGCATGAAATTAAGTAAAAAGACTTACTAACTTTTCCAATCAAGTGTTCACCACAGACACTTCACAATGTTTGTGAAGCAAGTCTCTTAAATTTAATAATAACAAAATAAGGTCTGTTTTATATTGGTTTATTTTTGTTTTTACATCTCAGACATACCAGGTTCAGTTTATCCCCCAGAAGTGCTATATGCAGAATTTAATAAAGATGACTGGCATTAATATCTCAGCTACATTAAACCACAAGTAGGCGTGTGCTAATAAAATAGAGGATCATTTACAGAGAATACACGGCTAAAATGAAGAAATGTCTGCATGCATTGTGCACACTGGAACTTCCTCCTCATGTTCGGTGATAATAACTTTAACAGTAGACTGAAAGCTTCTGCAAAATCCTGCATTTGTTGCATTGATGTTTTGTGTTTACCTGTAACATCTCATTTTCTACACAAACTTTATGTAAATATTCATCACAGCCATGGATTTAGAGACAGAACAAATATTTGACCAGCCAGGCATAACATTATGACCACCTGCTTAATATTGTGTTGGTCCCCTTTTTGCTGCCAAAACACTAGACCACTGAAGGTGTCCTGTGGTATCTGACACCAAGATGCTAGAAATCCCCCGGCAGCATTTCAAGTTGCTATACCATCAATACAACAATTATAGCCCAGATTTTAATAATATGTATTCATTAAGTGCATAGTAATTACATAAATTGCAAAAAAGTGCAATAAACTACAAAAAAAATGAAAATCGTTTTTGCTTTTTTAACATATATTTCTAGTTGGAGAAATTTAAGAGCCTTATCCCTCAAAACTGTAAATACAAAAAAGTTGCACAAAATAGTTTCCTACCACAGGAATTTTATTTTGAGTGTCTTCATAGTTTTATTTTTGAAATACACCAATTTTTATACACTGCAGGAAAAACGAAAATAAATATTATACTGCAAATTTGCAAAAAAGCAGCATATGCATCAAAATAAACTATTTCCAGCAATGCAATATGAGTCCTAAGCATCCCAGAAACGACACAGAAAGTCATAAAGTCAAACATAACTTTTAAAAAGACCAGTATAGGCCCTGAGGCCCTGATGGTAAAAAAGACTACATTTCCGTGAAAATGACGTCACTTCCGGTTTCGGGCAGGTAATGGCGGACATGCAAAAGTTCGCGCTGACGTCTATTCCAACGTAGGAAGTGTTATGAACAGCTGATCGGATCGGCAAAGCATGTTTCTGGAATATTATGTTTTTGTTGCTGCAAGCGCTTTTTATGCAGTTTTTGCAAAGCTTTATGTGGAAGGAAACCGTGACCTAGGACAAGCTGATGGCATAAGATGTAAGTACAACTCCGGTTTCATATGCAAAAAAAATTATTGCGCTAGCTTATGTGGTTGCAGAGCTACCAGGATTTAAAAATAGTTACGTAAAACAGAGCGTGCCCGCTCTGACCGGCTCTAAAGGGTTAATAGACCTCTCTGCATTGAATCATCCATCCATCCATCCATCGTCATCCGCTTTGTCCGGGGTCGGGTCGCGGGGGCAGCAGCCTAAGCAAAGAGGCCCAGACCTCCCTCTCCCCAGCCACCTCCTCCAGCTTGTCCGGGGGAATACCAAGGCGTTCCCAGGCCAGCCGAGAGATATAATCTCTCCAGCGTGTCTCTCCATTGAATCATATCTGTTATTAACCTCTGTCTCTCTTCCACAGCATGTCTTTTATCCTGTCTTCCTTCTCTCACCCCAACCGGTCGCAGCAGATGGCTGCCCCTCCCTGAGCCTGGTTTTGCCGGAGGTTTCTTCCTGTTAAAAGGGAGTTTTTCCTTCCCACTGTCGCCAAAGTGCTTGCGATAGGGGGTCATATGATTGTTGGGATTTTGTCTGTATCTATGAAGCGCCTTGAGGCGACTTTTGTTGTGATCTGGCGCTATATAAATAAAATTGAATTGAATTGAATTGAATGGATGGCAAAACCCAAGGTTTCCCACATTGCCCAAAAGCATCAAACTGCCACTCAGACTTGCCTTCTTCTCAGTGCACCCACGGTCCATGGTCCACTTCTGATGCTCACATTCCCACTGTTGGTGCTTTTGGGTGTCGACAGGGATCAGCATGGGCGCTCTGACTGGTCTGCAATTATTCCTGGCTGGTTCACTAATGTTCCTTCCTTGGACCACTTTTGATAGATACTGACCACTGCAGACTGGGAATATCCCACAAGAACTGCAGTATTAGAGATGCTCCAACCGAGTCAACCTTGTCAAATTTTCTGAAATCCTCAGACTTGCACATTTTTCCTGCTAACCCTAACCCTCTAACACATCAGCTCTGATGACTAAATGTCCACTTGCTCTCTGATATATACCACTCACTAACTTATGCTGATGGACATTAATTTCAAAGACTCTAAATAGGTTTGTGATTTGTAAGAACAGAATAATTATGTACTATTCGTTTACATTAGACTTGAATAGTTTGTAAAACCAGACAAGACAAGTTTGTAATGCTGTGCTGTCAGCAGAGATACATCTATGGAACTCCAAAGTGTTCAAAATTAAATAAATAAATAAGTCATGATGAAATAAATTACTAGGTGAATAAATAAGACACAGATATGTAATGTGAGAATGATATTGTGAAATAATTGAACACATTTTGAAAAAAAGCTCATTATTGTGAAA